CTCTTTAAAAAAAAAAAAAAAAAAAAAAAGGAAAGAAAATAAATCAAGCAAGGAAAGCACATGTGCATGCCTGCCCAAAATCCCAAGAGGAGAATGACGAAGGGATCACAATGTGTGTCCATCCACCCTGGGGGAGTGGTTTCTCACTTTCCCTTTTTCTGTCTCTCTCCAGGGAATGCTCTCACCCTATAATAAAAGCCCAAGTAAACAAATAAATAAAAAGAATGGAGAAGATCGAAATGAAACCAATATACTCAGAGAACAGCAGAGACGTCCTTGGGCTGCTGCACTGGCAGAACATGCTGGAAATCTGTATCTGGGAAGCAGGGGGCAGTGTCTCATGTTAGGAGCTCCACTGCAAAATCACCAGTGCTGGTGCTGACCCCTGTGTATCGGGGAGCCATTCTCTAGAGAAGTCACCTGCGCTGTAGGAATCTGGTGCTGAGGTCACTGTCTACACCATAGGAGTCAATGCTTTGGAGGAGCCAGGCTTCCCTTGGAATTTTTCTTACCCACTGGTGCTTCCCCATACCCAGGTCAACATATACAGGAGAAAAAAGGTAATCACAGGGAACCACCATGTGCTTCTCATGTCCCAGTTCCCTAGTTAGTCTTCCTTCTTTCCACTCTTTGGACTCTTCTTCGTCTGTGTTATATTTAGTATCTATGGGTTGTAGCTGTACTTTTCAGGTTGAATGGGAGAAATGTGTCTACTCCATTTCCTGCAATGAAAATCTACTTGACAAAACTATTTTTCTTTTCTCTAACCAGTGCTTTAAGACCCTTACACGAGTGTATTGGGATACTTTTCTGTTTTGTAAAACTGCTCTCTCTCTTTTTTTAAGGTTTTTGCTATAGGGCATGTGTGATCACTAGAGAGAGACAGAGAGAAGAAAAGTGAGAAATCAACCCTCTGGGGAGGATGGCCACACTGCAATCCCTTCTCCCCCATTCCCCTTTTGGGATTTTACACACCATGCACATGCACCCAGCATGAGTTTCAGGCCCCCCGGGCCTGGACTCAAACCACACTCTGCCATGTGGGCATCCTGTGCCTTAACCATTATACCACCTGCTGGCCCCGTGATAATATTTCTCTTATGCCACTTAAAATAGTCTCCCATTGTACATTTCCTCGTATCTCTGCCCTTGTTCCTTGCTTTCCCTTTCTTTCCTGCATGTTGCAGTAACTATTCAGAATCTGTTACTCAGAAGATGGTCCAGCTGCGATGGCACATGCTGCTTAGAAGCTTCTCTACAGGCTGGGACCACGGGGGAGGTCCACGTTCAATTTCCAACCCATTCTAAAGACTGAGAACATTGATGTGGACCAAGACTCCCAATGTCTTGTGTGGCTGAGGCAGGAGGGTTGAAGCTCAAGGTTGACCTGGGCAGCATAGCTAGAATCTATCTACAAAAATAACACCAGTAGTGGCCAGCAGGTTGCATGCTGTTTAAATCCTGGACTCCCGCATGGCTGACCGTCTTTGGAATTCCAGACCTGGAAGTTTGAGAATCACATTGGGTGTGTGTGCCTGCATGCCTAAAATTCTGAGAGGGGAATGGAGAAGGAATTGCAGCATGGCCATTTCCCCCGGGGAAGGGGTGATTTCTCATTTTCGCCCTCTGTCTCTCTCTGGGTAGTGCACGCACCCTATGGCAAAAAACTAAAAGCAAAGCAAAAAATAAAAAACAAAAAACTCTCTCTCCTTTCTTCCTTCTACTTTAAAAAAAAGAAAATAATAATAAAAATAACAATAATTCTACAACTGCTTATTTATAGTCATATTTCCCAATGAGATTATCCCATGTCTATTGGGGTCTGAGATATGAAAGTGACAAATTTTATAGTTTCAAAAAACATAATTTGACTGAATTAAACACCGATAATTTTCATCATCATAAATAATTTTATTATTTATTTTAAAGCAATTCAATCTAACTGGTAGCAAAATGGTACATAGACAATAAACAGAACCAATTCCCATAGGTCTACAAGGACTATTATCCATTTTATGTTTTATTTTTATGTGCAAGTATAATTATCTTTAAAAGGCAAAAGATTGTTAAAAGTCTTTTATAAGCATGTTTTTCTTCTTTAAATAAGAGAAAGACTAGTAAACTACCATTATTTTAGCAAGCTGATACGAATTATATCGAATATTAAATTTGGACCAATGTTCATAATCAAAAATAATTATTTTTAAATTTATGAAATAAATTTTTTTATTTTATAGGAAATATAATCATATATCCTAGCATAAAATTCCTAGTCTTGACAGTTATCTTAATGCAAAAATACTAAACTTCAGATTTTGTGGGGGGATAGAAGATTTGTAAAATTCACCTTTATTTCTAAAAATAACTGTAATGGAGTAGAAAGAGTCAACTCAAAGAAACATCATACTTGACTACTGATGTGCAAATAGAGAAGTTTATGAAATTTCTTTTTCTTCATTATATATATTAATTTAATTCTTTAACAATTTGTATGTGGTTATGTATTTCTCAAATATATTTCACATGTTAGATACACCTAAACAGGCGTACAATCTTTAACTTTTAAGGCATGCTGCCAATTTTAAGTAGCCTATCAGAAATTCTACTCTGCCTGATCAAAGAGTAAAGACAGGCTTTCTTTGTTTCAGGCAAAATTCTCCCTGTTCTTGTTATTCTAAAATGTGGGTAGTATAAAAATACTAAAATAAAAGGCATTTTGTATGTGCTAAGCCAAATTACAGAGAATTTGTAATCTTTAATATCACATTTTATGTTTCATATTTTTATTTATGAAGAACTACTGGGAGAACATTAGGCATGATTTGTGTTTAGAAAGATCTATTTTTCTTTAAGTTGTCTGCTTTATTAATAAAAGAAAAGATAAAATGTTCCTTTCCAGTTTCATATAGCCATTTTTTGTTATTGTGTAATTAAAAATTCCACAAAATTAATTTGTAATTAAAACTCAACTCTCAAATTTAGAAATAAATAGACAAAATTTGAAGAAACATATCTTTTTAAATTTACCAATGTCTCTCCCATGGGAATACCTTAATACACTTCAAACTCCTGGTAAACCACGTATGCACTCTCTTGTATATTTTGGCTTATTTCTGCAGCGGATAAAAACAATACCAGGGCATTGGTATCATCAAGGGCCAACCTATATTTAAATTTATAGCTGTCTAATTCTTTATGATTCATACTAAATGTAAAGAAAAAAGATTTCCTAATTTTATTTCATGTTTTTTCATAATTAAAAATGTAGTCATAATACATTATTTTTCAAAATTTTTAACACACCACTTTGAGTGTGATTTTTTTCCATACCAAAGACATAAGAAGAACCTTTACTATTCTGAAGTGTCTTTGTAGCCTACAAAAGTAAAAATTTGTTTCTTTCAATTTTAAAGTACTTTTCTAATGACATTTACTGTATAGATACATGGAAAATGTTAAAGCTCAAAAGCCTAAAGAAAAGTATTACTGCCTGATTCAAGAAATTCGGTTAATGTTCAATTCTTGGATTAAGTTTAAGTCAACCAATGTCTATTACGTATTTTCTTTATGCTAGACATTCTTTTAGGAGAACAATAAGCATTTGCTTTATAGTACACTTTTCTTAGCATACAATGTGTGCTAGCCATAAAGTTACCAAAAGTTCAGATACTCAATATTTCTTTTTGTTTATGTTTTAGTTTCTCCAGTGTAATAAAACATGCTATGAACATTTCAAATTCCAAAATGAATATGAATGATATTATATAAAAAAGGCAGACAGAAAAGGTTAAAATGACTTAGGTTTGTGTTCTAAAGTAAACTATGATTCTTGCACAAGTCAGCCGAAGAAGTTGTTGGTTAATGTCTATGTAAAGAAGACTAGACAATTATGATTAGCTCGATTTTATAAAATAGCAAATTTAAAGAATATAACACATTTTGTTTCTAAGAGGAGCAAGAATCTTCTGTGTCCCTTGTGATACACCAAATATAGTTAGATTTTTAGATCACTTTCATAAAAAGCTAATAAATTTTAAAATTGGCTTCATACAGTCAGGATTATTGAGAAACAACTAAAGAGCAGATTGAAAATTTTATGTTTTAATTTAGGTTTCAAAATCATTCCACTGATATCTTTCAAATATTAATAGGGGAGTACCAATAAGTAGTACCCTATGTTTCAAAATGATCTATACTTCTAAGAGAATAGATTTATTTTGAAGTATGTGAGAACTGAAGTTATTCCAATGTAGTTTCTTTTATTCCAACAACCCTTTTGCAGTTTCAAGCACGATTTTCATGGGGGGTGGGGGGAGTCTCTTATTTTCTTCTTATCAAAGTTGAGTTTCTTCCCGAGCGTCTTGACCAGTGGTGTTGCAGATGCTGTTCTTCCTGCTGGGTTCACCGTTGGGAAGGTATGCTAGTGGATCTGGTCGGATTAAGTATCTAATAAAAGAAAACAAAGGAAATAACCTTGCAGTAGTAAATGCCACTAAAGATTTCGTCTATGTTATTTGTCCAGTATTCAGGTTATCTAACTTTGTCTTCATGTGTAACCCTGCTACAGGCCTCAATTAGCTGGTCTATGCAATTTTTGAGGGTTTATATTATTATTTTCAAACCCGGGAAGATTATGATGATGAATGAAGCATCATTATTTTTCAATTAGGATCCATTTCGATACCTCATCTTATCAAAGGTCTCTGATTTAGTTGAGTATTTTCTTTCTTTATTATCTCTCACTTCCGCCATTTTTCTATCAAGGAGGCCTACATCATAGCCATGATTCCTCTCTTATTTAACTCTTCTTTGTCTTATTTTTATCACTCATAAACTTAGAATTTCTTTAAATTTTTCAATTTAAGTATCTTATAATTCTATAAAATTAATGATTTAATAAATGTTTGGTGAATATTATGCATAGAAATATTTTAATTACCTGGAAAATTACTTATCTAAAATTCAGGGTATGGCATCATAAATGACTAAGATATAAAAACAATCTTTAATTCATACTACTGAAACACAGAACGATGCTTACTGCCAAACTCAAACATTTTATTAATGGTCAAACTGGTTTTAGGATAGACGTTTTACTTTAGACTGTCAAGTGATGCGTATCCTCAGCGCTTACTTCTCGAACACTTGTAGGACACGGCACCATCACCTGAAAATACGAAAGTGTCACAAAACCTGACCGCTGCAGAAGATTAGAATACGATTTATGAAGCACATATACAGAGGAAAGAAAATTTCAAACATACACAAAGGAAAAACAAACAAACAAAAAACAAACAAGCAAGAGAATTAGGAATGCACGATTGTACTTAAGAATTAGGAAAAGTTTTCCTGAACTTCTCTCTTCTGGCTTGAGAGGAGAGAAGCTAGAAAGGCAATCCCAGGCGTGGACAGTGGGGGCACAGGCTACTATGTAAAGAAGACTAGACAATTATGATTAACTCGATTTTATAAAATAGCAAATTTAAAGAATATAACACATTTTGTTTCTAAGAGGAGCAAGAATCTTCTGTGTCCCTTGTGATACACCAAATATAGTTAGATTTTTAGATCACTTTCATAAAAAGCTAATAAATTTTAAAATTGGCTTCATACAGTCAGGATTATTGAGAAACAACTAAAGAGCAGATTTAAAATTTTATGTTTTAATTTAGGTTTCAAAATCATTCCACTGATATCTTTCAAATATTAATAGGGGAGTACCAATAAGTAGTACCCTATGTTTCAAAATGATCTATACTTCTAAGAGAATAGATTTATTTTGAAGTATGTGAGAACTGAAGTTATTCCAATGTAGTTTCTTTTATTCCAACAACCCTTTTGCAGTTTCAAGCACGATTTTCATGGGGGG